AAAAAACAAACCATTTTTTTAATACGAAGTTCTAAATTTAAATAATAGTCAACAGCTGTCACTATTTTATGTGTGAAAACGTCAATTATGAAGCAACTCTTGTGATTTCCATTTAGCACAACGGAAGGTATACTACTTTCTGCAAACTTATCGGACACCAAAAAAAAGCAGTTATATAATAATTATCAGTAGTTCATGAAGAGGAAAAACTCAAAAAACTCCAATTAAAATTCACTTAATTTTTGATTTTTAAAAATATTTTGAGTGCAAAATAATAGGCTTAGGTTAACAAAACAATAAATGTACAATGGCCATTTTATATAAATATAAACAATGCTTATACAAAATAGTTTTCCAAAAAAGTAATACAGTGTTCTTCTATAGTATTAAATCTTGTAAACTATAATTCTCGCAAGTAATCTCTGGCAGTTTGAAATAAGGTCTAAATTTAATAAAATTTGAAAAAATATGATGTTGCAAGAGATTAAAATGCAATATTTTGAAACATTTTAGAATAAAAAAGACTTAAATGAAAAAATTAAAATCAGTTGGAAATGAAATGGTGATGATCATACCATAACATCCATCATATCATATAAGACTAATTTGATGAAATATTGGAGAAAATATTCTTGCAATAAGCATTTTGAATAAAAATAAATTTTTCAATATGATAATTTTGAATTCTATAATATTAACATCAAAAATGAATAATATTAGTATTGCCTTTCACACCTGCATACAAGTTAAGTGCAAAGGCCTGATTAACTCAGAGATTGAGAGATTAATCGGAATCGCCTGTTCTAATTGCTTACTAGTGATCTTCTATGCTAATGTATCCAATCCTCACGATACCACTAAGGTATCAATTAATTACCTGTTACTGCCCCATCATTATTGCTGGCACAGCAAAGCGCATTCATTTCTTATCTTTCTTCTTGATCCAGTCAAATTCACTTAAATCTATTCTTTTGTTAATAGTAAAAGTACAATAACAATATTTTTGTCAGTCCACAGCTTCAATTCTTCTCTTTCTGAAGTCTTTCAGTTTTTGAATTTTGTTTGGTTGAGCTTCAAAATGTTTTGATCATCAATCTTTTTGGCTTTAACTAATCTTACAATTTCTACGATTCTTATGTTTAAACAAACTTTATCATTTCTGCATTTTTTAGCTCATGAAAAAACCCTATTTTGATTTCATTCTATTGAACTGATGAAGCACAAATCAAGATTCTTTTTATGTACTGTCAACAATAATACCCAGAAACTTAAATAAATTAATCTATCAGTTTTTCAATAAATAGAAGGAACCGTGAAAACAAGCATCAAAGAAAAGAAAATTTAAAAAATGCAGATTTCTTATATTGTTTTATATCAATCATCTTGATTTCTCAAATTTCCAAATTTGAGAAAAATTCGGAAAAAAAAGATGAATATCGTTGTTTTATGAAATTATCAACCAAACTTTTTTGAATTTTGACCATGCAGAATTTGGTGCATAACTGAAAGTATGTGTGATAGTGAAAGCGGCAAATGCGATGAAGAAGGAAGCAAAGTTCAGCATTGTATCGACCAAAGCAAAATTTATAATACAATTGAAGAAGCTGTTAAATCCACTTCAAGTATGTTAAATACACTTTCAGTGTGCTTATTTAAGTTTCATCTTGCAATTGAATTTATTTTTTTACAATTGAATTTATATATATATATATTTTTTGAACTTATTTAAATTTTATGCAGCAATCGAATCCTCATTGTTTAAGAAAGTCTTAAGCTACATAGGCATACATACCTTCTTTTTTCATCTAGAAAGTGGATAATTTTAGGTGATCATCAGGAGAGAAAGAATAACCCATTAGAATGTGCAAAGAGGAATCGATGCAGGTTTTCCATCTCAGATATATTGAGCGACAAGCATTCAACAAGCCGAACTAACACGTAAATGAAGTATTAATCTATATGCAAGAATGTGTAAACATGAAAAAGCATATGATATTCCCTTTTATCAATCAATATTTTCTTTTAAGAGTTTAATTGCTAGCATGTAAAATTTTGTTGATTCTTTATTTATTATTTCATAAAAATTCAAATTTTTTATTCAGTAAGTATATTTCATAGTAAAGTAAGAGTTGGAGAAAAAAAATTGAATAATTAAAGAAAAAAGGAAAAATTTTTTGCAATAATTCTGAATCTTCACTTATCGATAAAACGACCCATCAATTCTCATTTGTAAATTTGAGCTGGCTACTAGCACAGTGTGTTGCAAATAGAGCGTTATTCAGGAGCATCAAATAGCGAACTTCATGTTTATGTGCTTGTTATCGCTTCATCCCAGTAATAATAATTATAATAATGACGTATTTTCATTGCATCATTTACAACATTTTGCGTATAAGAAATATTAAACACGCATGAATATATAATATAACTTAAGTTATTAAAAAGGTTCAAATTATCTCTTCTTGAAATAACTTAGTATATCTAAGAGCATTATTCGAGCGCTGTCAATAGTATTTTGACATTGCGAGCCCAAAAATTTTTTAGATATTAGCATAAAATTTGTGCAATTATTTTAAATTTTCTCAATGTTTTCCAGTATAATTGCAAAAAATTTTTAGTGTTTGATAGGCTTAACCTCTCAATGCAATTTGAAATATTTAGGATTGAAAATGTGACTTCGAAAACCTGTATCACCACTTCTACTACAGAAACGGGAATTATTTCGGTCTCACTTCCTGCAGCAATGAGTACCAATGATGAAGGAACACCGTACATCAGTTCTCAGTTACCACGATATCTTCATGCCGGTGACTTTAAATTATCATTATACAACTGTAAGTTGCTAAATCAATAGGGAATTCAATTTTCTAATGGAACTAGCGATCATTTTAAACTAATGAACTTTTCATTTTCCTTTTAAATAAGCAAAAAAGTGTATAAGTATACAGAAAATTTTTAAAATATGTGGGAAATTTAAAGATATCTTCCAACAATCAACACATAATCCGTGGTTTCAACCTTGGCTATCCACAGTTCGTCCATCAATTGCTCAACAACAAAATTTGGCACATAGTGATGACAAAAAACAGACAGAAAGAGTTCATGAAATAAGTAAGTTGCTTTGACATGTTTTTGAGAGTCTCTCAGTTTTCCAATTTTTTCAGATAAAATCAATGCATACTTAAAATTCAATATATCTGTAGAATCAAACAAATTATTATAATGCAGGACATTAGTATACTTGCAGAAAAAAATCTCTAATAGAATCAGGAAACCTGTAATAAAAAAGATCATCTTATAACCTATTAACCTTTTCTCGCCTTTTCTATAGCACCACTATGTTGGAATAAGCATCTCATATTACTTTCCTGATTACTTGAGAATTTAAGAATACGGTTAGTCGAAAACCATCATTTTTATCCAATTATTTTAAGATATTTCTTTGAAGTATATCTTTCTAACTGAGAAGCCGCCGCTCTTCCTTCCTATTCCTTTTTCCGTTGCCGCATAGATGTGATGCAAAGAACAATGAAAACGGTAGAAAAAATGTTTAAGTGAAGGAAGGGAAAGAACCTGAACATACTTTATATCATTTGAGTACTGAACGAAATAGGTCGGTACTTTACAAAGGACACTGTAGCTCCATTCATTCGGATAATTTTCGAGATGATTTCACTACAACATAATCATTCATTCAGGCATTCATAACAAATATCTGAACATATGCAGCAGACAAGTAGAAAAACATGTGTCAAATACAATGGCAATGATTATAATAGTCGTCAGATTGTTATCTTCTTATCTCTTCACTTCTTATGTTTATATTTTCCAAGAAATCATATTATTTTTGCGAAACATTAAGCCGACAAATTAGTTTCCCGATCCTCCCATATAAGAATTTCTTTGTCATTGCTCATCACCTAATTAGCAATGAAAAAGCCATGCATTATTACATGGAGCAGCATTCATTCTCTTATGTGCTGCTCTTCTTTATTCGACCCGGAATGAATTTATTGTGCTGCTAAATTATTTTTAGAACATCTAATTACAAGATATTATTTGCTTTAAATTATTTCTCTTTTTTTTTGAATAAGTAATTTGTACACAATCTTTTTAGGGTAAGATCAAAATAATTCAATACTTTTATCTTGCTTTACCTGCCTTTTTCTTTTTATAAAAATTATTAAAAAATGAGATAACTATTATTTTGTTTCTTTCAACTTACCTTGTACGTTAAGATTTTCATTCATAAATCTAAAATTAAAAGATTATGCGAATGCTTAAATATAAAATTAAAATTTTTAATTTAATTCAAATCTTATTTAGTATGAAAAGTAATGTTTTTCGTTTAATAAACTTAACTGTTGTAGTTTACAGTCATTCAAAAACTTTATTATCATAAGAAATGAAAATAATTTTAATCCAAATGAAAATTGAAATTTTATTTTTATTAACTGGGTTGCTTTTACTATACGCTCATCACTAATTAGCTTGCCATAATTAATTTGAATATTGTTTCCTTTCTTTTTTTGCTTGGTTGAACACAGTGGGAAGCGGGATATTGTGATCGCTGCTATGATGAGCCTTTCTCTCTTGTTTAAAAGTGAGTCATCTTTGACGACGGATTACTCCCAGTAATCAGATAATTACCGGTCAGACACTATTACTGTAATTCTAAGAAATGTTATAAGACTCAATGGTCACTGTGCAATTGAACTTTCAGTTATTTCCTACATGGTATTTAAGAATCAATTTCCTATAAGTAGTAGGATTTTGATGGTAATGTTTAAGTTTATGCAAAATGCTTTTAATAGTATTTAGAATTATTAAAATCTGGAATAAGACGTTAAATCATAGTATTTCAATGGTGGAAAGTTATCAACAACACGGAAATGTGTTACGCAGATGTGAACCATGTTTGTGTTCGTTAATGATGCGTGTAGACATTGAAATCACTGACTTATCTTTAAATTTATTACCTTCTTAATATACCGCTCTTTTTCCAACATTCTCCTAATTGTTCAACTCATTTCTGACTTTTGAACAAAAGACTTTCATAATTTTCACTTCGCAACCATTTAAAAATATCTATAAGAAATTGTGCATAGAGATCTGTTGCGCATTGTTCACGAAATTACCGTATTCCTTCAAAATTCCATCCAATGAATTCAAAAAAAGAATTCATTATTTATGTGCGATTAGTAAGATAATAATGATAAGACTTAGAACGAGCAGATAACCTTTGATGGAGACGACCTTTGACATGAAGCGATATTTGTCAAGCAAATAGCAAATAGCAAATCACAAGCAAATCCCGTAAAAAGGAAATCGGTCGCATTTTTTTGCATATTGAAATGATTCACTTTATTCAACTTGTTCATAAGTTGAATTCTTGAGGAACTAAAATTTCGCCACAATGCTTATAAAAATTAAAAATGATTTCAGTATTAAAAAAAATGAAACTAATGTAATAGTGTTTGGCTTTGAATCATTCATTACCAATATTCTGAGGAAATGAAACATTTATGTTCATCAAAGCATAGACAATAATTCCTCTTATCCTTCCTTGATTCTTCTTCTGCTCTTTAATTTTCATATTTGCCTTATTATGCAAATTGAGGTCATTTAGGTTCAAAGTTAATCCTTTGAATAGATTCAAAATGATCCCCCAATGTCGCTTGTTGAGTGTTTCGGGACAGTCTTAGATTGATATCTCTATGAAGCGGATAGCATTAAAGATCGTCAAAGCAAGCTGTATTATTAGTACACCACCCATAGACTGTCTAATATCTTAATATTTCAACTCAGTAACTACAACGAGAGGAGAGTTAAAGGTGCAATTTTCAAATGCAACTGTAGTGGAATTTTTGCAGTAGATAGCTTATCATGAAACAATTCACTTCCATAGAGTTCATTTCTGCTAACGGCATTATTAAGAGGAAAATACATTTAAGATTACATAAATTCTCTCAGTCTAGCTTTTAACTTTTTCTGTTTCTTCTTGAATCCGTCCCTAAAATTTATTTGTTAAATGAGAGAAAAGATCCAAAAGCGAAAGAGACTTTTGATGATTTATTTACCATTAATTTAATAGCTTGAATTATGATATCAATTTAACATGCAGTATGTTATTCACTGTCATTGTCTATATTATTAACCCAAAAATGTTCTTATATGAACAATTTTAGTATCAGCTTCAACGAAGAATCTCTTCCAGTTAGTATCCGCTTATTCACAGCGAAACAAAAATCTACAATATGAAACAATTCAAGTAATTCCAGATGGCGTTCATGTTACCGGGAGTTCACCAGAAACTCATTTGGTACGTTCATTATTTTCGAATTTAAAAATCAAAATACAACTTTACAATCCTAAATAGCATTCTAAAGTAAGTTAAGCTGAGATGGTTCTTTTATGTAAGCTTTTAGAAAATTCAAAATCTTTTTACCATAAAAATTCCTACTAGATCTTATTCAGTGGTTCTTGACATGCTATTTGGTTTTGAAGATAAGTGAAGTATAAAGAATACTTTCAGCAAATGCTATAAATTTTAAAAGTGATAGGATTTGGCAAGAATTATGAAGAATACTTTAAAAGCAAAAAATTACAATCAAAAAATAATTCGTAGTATTTTTTTCTTTCAAAATGACTAGTTGATACAAATCATTTTATCATAAATGGAGTTCCAATCGAATTGAGAACATTTGGAGTGCTGTAGAATGATGATTTCAAAAGAGCCTGGAACTTAGGATATTTTTATCTTCCATACTTACATGTCTTTGCTTTAATTCTGATCTCCGTTTTTCCATATTCCGAAACGGCAATCAAAGGTAACTGATAATTCAAAAACAATGATCGATGCAGTCGACAATGACTATGACGATGATAATGACGATGATGATGATGATGATGATGATGATGATGATGATGATGATGATGATGATGGTAATGATGATAATGACGATGACGAGGATGATGACGATGTTGGTGACGATGATGATGGCGATATTGCAATACGTGCAAGTGACGATGAAAGTACCATTTTATTATCTGGATCTACCATTCCACGCAAGAAGAAAACTCGAACAGTTTTCAGTCGTCAGCAAGTGTCCCGACTGGAAATGACCTTTGACATGAAGCGATATTTGTCCAGTCAAGAACGTGCATATTTGGCCTCGACTTTACATCTTAGCGAAACGCAGGTAACTAAAATCTAATAGTAAAGTTCCAATGTCACAAATTAGACCACATAATTTATATTCTTCATCGTCTCCGTTTGAATACTTTTCATTCATTATACAGTTTATTTTCTTGTATAATGTAAGACTCATTTTCAAATCTTCGAGGATAAAAGCGAGGACACCAATGATCCAAACTTTACATCTTCAGGGGTACAACAACCATCATCCCATAAACAAGAAAAAGCTAGTATACTAACTGTTCGATATTGCTCATCATTACTGATAAGTAGTGATTTGAATTCTATTATCAGCACATTATGGTAATTGTTATCAGTAATGTGGTATTATTAAAATGATTTAACTTTAATTACGGCGCTATAATCACTTTGATTACACGCAGCACATATATGTCTCTACATTATGTATTTTATTTTTTATATATTACTATTTAATAGCAGTGTATAACAGTGGTGTATTGCAGGTGAAAATCTGGTTTCAAAACAGGCGAAATAAGTGGAAACGTCAAGCGGCAAGCGATGTCGATAGTTCAAGTGCGATGAATATTCATCGATCACACATTTTTGCCTCAAATATGCAGCACATTAGTGATACATCAGAACGATTTTCAGGAAATATTACAGTCACAAATAGGTTTAGTTATTTTTTATAAATTTCTTGCAGTAACTCATCATATACCTTTTTCATTGCGAATAAATTTATAATTAGTGGAATAGCTAGCTTCCTCAGTTAAGTTACACAGCTGTACTTTTTCTTAAAATATGTCCTTATAAAAGGCAAACTTCAAAAATATTTCAGCTTATCGGTAGCGCCTTTTGCAAGCATCGCTCCATCGCTCTTACACCCAGCAATCTTATTTCATGCCAATCCAACAGCAACACCGGCATCAACAACATCAATATCACCACAAGCAATCATCAATTTCAGTAATGCAGAAAATGCGGCAGCTGCGGCGAAACTATTTTATAGCACTTATGGCAGTAGCGGCACCGGCATCACTGGCCCCAATGCACAGCTCACATAAAATGATACTACTCGATCATAACGCGGGTACTGACTGATTTTTCCAAATTTCTGAAGTCGCACTGTTTGTCAATAATCCTACAGCTTCTCCAGCCAGGTTCACATAAATTCATATTTGTAAGAAACCGCATACCACCTATGTCTTAAACTCCATCTTAAGCACATGCTCAGAAAAATAGGTACAACTCACAAGCATCGGCATTGAACAATAAAACATTGCTCAACTGCTTCTGATTTAATGGGAAACTTTTTGTTTTCACTTCTTTGGCAACACCAATTCAGTTTTGGAAAAACTCCAGTAGTTTTATATTTTTCTAATTCTCAATTGTTATGGATATAATCAAAATAAACATTCTTTTTAACGAAACAAAAACAAATTTCAAACAACAAATAACATTGTGAATCGAACGCTACCACCGTCCCCGTTACTTCACTTTCATTGTCATTCATCTGAAATCATTGAGAACCGAACTACAGCAAAATCCGCTATATTCGCATATAAACATCACGTTATTACGTACAATACAAAAACGCAAAAAACAAACGCTTCAGTGATAAAAAAAGCAAACAGAAAATTAGGTGATAAATTATGGGAAAAGGGTGGTCTTTAACTAAGAGTAAGTTATATCATACTTAAAATAAGTTCAGGAATATAATGTAATGCACAGACACTGATGCATCAATTCAGTTCATGAACCAGGAACCTGAGCAATGAAAATTGACCAAATTAACCACAAGAATTCAATGCCTCCGGGACTAAAATTCTATATCACTGTTTATTACTCCGAATGTCCCAAGTTAGGATTTACGATTAAAAAAGAGAAAAATGACTAACAACGGTCATAATCCATTTTCCCGTTCTCCCTTATCCTAGACTCAATTCCTTATTGACTTTGAAAATAGCTTTCTCTGTGACGGAAAGACTAGAAATGCAAACCTTCAGGTAACAAAAAAAAATTCAAACCAATTACACTGATTCACTAAACTACTACTAATAATTACTATTATTAAACAAAATCATTACATACAAAAAGAATTATGAGATGAGTTATCGCTAAATAACAAAACTAAACTGAATTTGAAAAAAGACAGAACTGAATTCGAAAAAAAGTTGTGCTTTATTTTGACATAAAGCAAAGGGCATTCATCTTCGCATTTTATCATCTTCCAGTCGCAGTAGCGAAATGAAAAAAACATTTGATAAATATGTAGAGTTATAAAATCAAGTTGGGGTTGATTGATGAATTTATCTTGCAGCCCAAAGTGGATCATTTACTTCTTCAACCTCAAGTTCTGTGCTAACTGTGATCGAGACACCTTGCATTGTAGCTTCGCCCTCGTAATGCGCTGTCAACTCAGCCATTGCTTGCTCTTCCCTGATATTCAAAGAGAAATTAGATCTTATAAAACATGTTAAAATTATGTCTACTGTACAATAACTGCGAAGATCGTTTACTCTCAAAGAAAGGAGTTCATTCCACACGACCTGCGCACCAAGTGTCAGTTATTGTTGCTCAGAGTGTGGAATTAATTCCTTAAAAAAGACTATTTTGCTCTACAAATCTTAAAAAAGAATGCATTTGCTTTGTTTTATGGTCTTCTCAACTGCTATTCAACCCAACTTCAGAAAAGGAATGAGAATTCGTTTCATGAATCCAAAACAAATCCTCACATATTTATATCAGAAAGACGAGAGCACGTTTGTCGAATCGTTTCTAACTGCCGAGCTTGTTCATCTTCCATTATTTGTGCAAATGAATTTTCACAAGTCACAGATTCATTCTGAAAGACAGTGGAGAGTTAATGAATATGTTCTAAAGATGCATTATTCCTACAAACTGAAGTCACCTCAGATTAAGTAAATGATAAGAGAATAATTTCCGAATATAACAGAGGAAACATGTCCTATGCAAGCAGTTCGATCAGCTTAGCCTATTAAAAATTGAAAATCCTATTTCTAAGTTTCACCTCCTTCAAAAGTTACAGCAATCATCTCGAGCAATTTACACTCTTAATATTTTGGGATATTTTCAAAGATCACTCAAAATTTGATACCAGATGCCAGGAATTCGAAGTTCTTCGCTGAGATTCACAAAGATTTTCCGATGTGCTGTTTGGTAAAATGCAAGGATCTTTCTTCTCTTCTTGCTTTATTTCACTAGTTTTTCCCTCTTCCTTAGTGATAGTATCCGAAAGAGAAATAAACGGACGCATTTTAGAAGTATCCCTAAAATGACGAATGAAGGGTATTAATTAATTATTTTTTAAATAAGAACAGTGATCACAGTTTTTTCCCCTCAAAATTTAAATTCGCTCGAAAGCACCAGTCTCGCTCTGGTGTTCTTTCTTCAGGAAATTTTGACAAATGGGCTTCGCTGAAACTGATGCTACCAACTATAAAAAAAATGGATGATGATCGAATTTTTTCTATAGAGAATAGATATGTTTTAAGCTAACAGTTCAACATGTATTAACCTACTTTTCGCAAACCTGGTTTGTCGCAATTGCAATCTGTAATTACATATATTGTTTGGATATATAAAATACTTGACATTTTAAAAAAAAGAAAAATAAACAATCCCACAGAGAAAATGAATAAAATCGCAACATATGATAGTGGACGATGTTTTTCCTCAATGTTTACGGTTTTAAATGCAACCTTGGCGAGAGCATCTGGTATCTGAACGCAACCATCATCATTTTTCTCATTAGCGGCATTACCATTTTCCTCATTGGTAGAGTTATCATTTTTCTCATTGGTAAAGGATTCTTTCTGCCGTCCAAAGTCCGTTTCCATACGGATAGCTGAAAATGAGACAAGACTAGGAAGATAAATAGTCTTGATGCTTGTCTATCGGAATTATGACGACTCAAGAATCCAATTAAATGAACCGAAAAGGAAATACCATTTCCTGATGATCTGACTTGTTTGCGTCGTTTCTTCGGAATCGAATTCTTCATGTTCTTGCACAGATCAATCAGTTTCTTAATATCCATCGGTTCTTTCACAACTGCCATTACATCCATAATGATATTTCTTACAGCTTGCTCTGGAACTACCAGTCTTGTAACTCTTGATTCCTGAAAAACCTTAATGCGCTGAAGTTAGATCAATTTTACAAAATTCGGTTTATCAAACTGAACACCATGCTAGAAATTTTTCAAAGCCGAAGCAATTACAAAATCATCCACAGTCCGAATTATATTTTCCAAAGCATATGAACGAAAAGCGTCCTCAATATATGCAATTTCATCGAGCGATAGTTCATTAACAAATCCATTTTCCAAAAGTATCGGAAATATTGCTGCGCAAAGTTCACTCAAACTTTCATACAGCTCCATAGATGACAGATAACGAGCCAAAGCAAAAAGGTCTCGCAATTTCGACATTTCAACTGCAAGCGTCAATTTCGTCGGCAAAATGTGAAAAAGAAAATAAAGTACGTGCAAGCACGTGCTAATTTATCGAATATATAAAAATACATAGTTACCTATTCACAAAATCTGATACTTTTGAGATCTTATCATAATACAGTAAAATGTGATCAAAGCTTACATGGTGGTTTGAATAGTTCTTTCTTGATTGCATTGAAGAAGTTTTTGCATATCAGCTTATCCGCAAATATTAATAATTCCATTAACTAAAACAAGTAAAAGGAAAAAAAAATTTTAAAAAGACAAAATCCCACACAATTATGAGGATCGCAACCAACCAATGTTGATTAGGAGCAACATGATTTGACGTATTCGGCACAGCATATGAATAAACTATTGAGTACAATTAAGACAAAAGAAACCAAGAAAAATGCAACCAGTATAAGTCGCCATAAAACCGCTTCTACCATTTCAACAAGGTACCAAGCATGCCATAATGTGAAATGTTTCACTTTTTCAAGTCTCCCTCTTCCGGGCTGTCACAATGGTATGGTGATTTAACGATTACCGTTACCCAGAACCTACACTATAATGACATCACAGTTTTCTGGCTGCTAATGATTTGTTTCAGGCACTAATTAAACTTTCAAACAGATATTACGCCCTCAGTTTTCCAACGACTGCTTCCCTATAACCGCGTTCAACAGTTAAATTTCAAGAAGATAGGGGTTGCAAAATCTTATATTTGCTCACTTCTTGCATGCTCAATTTTGGACGTAAACAGTGGTCGCAGCAAAAATCTAAGAATATCTCAAGTATCTCCGGCTTCGCCGTAATTCGGATTTCATGCTTTTGCTCTCCTGACCATCTTTCGAAATACGATGAACAGACATCGCTCTCATGTTTGAGTATTTCCCTATAATGAAAAAAATATTTACTGATTGATGAATGTTTAAATCCTAAAGATATCTGTGTTACGAGGCAATTTTTTTTCTTGCTATTGGAAATCCACCGTTCATTAGCCTAAATGCGCTGTACCAACAAATGTGATATTCCGCTCGAAGGACTCACCACTACTCTTGCAAGCGAGAGACATAATCAAATCGATAGGTGTGAATTTCAAAAGCTACGTGCTATCGTGGCCCCGAAGAAAATTCTTACTATAAAGAAAATGGTGTTCGAAAAAAGTAGTAAAACTCAGTGTAATATGATGAAATAATGAAAATTTACAGAGAAGTTTCATAGCGTCCCATTTCATCACCTTTTTCATTCGCACATATAACTGTAGCTACGTTGCAACTTGGAAACTGCAAGAATATTTAACTCATATTTACTATTTCAACAACCCTACCGCCCTCACAATGAAAAATCGGATACACCGCATTAGTTTCCTTCCAAAATACTTTTGACAAAAGAATTGAACAAAACCCTATTAAAGGAAGCTTTCTTCATTCCCACTTAAAAATAATATTTGATGGAATTAATATTAATGTTTTTGATAACTGTTATAAAATCCTATTAGAAACTGATATGATTTCTCATCTTAAAAAGTTTACCAACTAAAATCAATGACAAATAGGTTTACCGCAATTCTTGTAAGCACTGCAACAAGGATGATAGCAAACAAATCTGGCTGTATTATTATTTCACTGTTAAAGACTGCTTTGAGGAATTCTCAATATAAAATTGATCTTTATATCCACCAATATATAGAACCTATTTTACGTAGACTAATTCTCAAAAACAAAAGATTAAAAGCAATTAACTAACTTCCACTTCCGACACATTTTCTGTATCATGAAGGACTGATCGTGGGTCGACCTCAAACAAATTCAATACTTTGTTTCTTCCATCTGGTGTTAAAAAAGCACTTTTTGCTGGCAAAATCCCACGCAATCGATTAACCTTTACCTTTACCATATAATCAGTAACCCATGAAGCTGCAAATGCGATAATTTATAGCATTTCCAAAATCAAAATATTAAAAAAATAGTGCAAAGGAATGGTAGAAGAGTAAGATGTCCAATTTATGTTAATAAAAAAAGGGATGGTAGAAGAATACGATGTCCGATTAGTGTTTAGAATCTCTGTCATTAAAAACGGTGGACTATCGTACAATGATAACAGAAACTACGGTAACCGATACAAAGTTCTATCTGCATCGGTTTTCTTTCAAGCAGAGCCGTTAAAACAAAAATTTATATACTTCGTCCTTCTACTAGTTTCTTTCTTGAAAAAATGCATAAATTCCCTAATTATATTAAAACTATAAAAATGCATACCGTCGCTAGCGTTGCCGAAATATGGGTCCGAAAACAGAGTATAATTTTCCAAATTTCCTTCGTAAACATCTCCCATCTCAAAAGAAGTAGTTTGACAAAAAATTATGAAATAAATAGCTTGAACATTTACAGATTACAGAGTTCCAAAGTAGAGCTTTTGAAGCAAATTTTGCTGTCACCTTTTTTTTGGTGCTTTTATAATGCAGTGCGAGAACCTACATAGTCAACGATTATTATCTGTCCATCTCGAGTGACATCTGCACTTGCCACCTCGATTATGCTTCTTTTCATTAAACTGTTGTAGAAGTATACTGATCGAAGCAGACTATGACATTCTGAATCGAATAAAAATACCCCTGATGTTACTGCTTGACGACGATTTTCGTAGAAATACTTGTAACCAGAAAACAGAGCACCCTACAATGAGAACCAATTAAAAAAGCAGCATGATTTATTGCGTGAGGTTGAATTTCTAATCGTACAAGCACAGAAAGAGAACGCTTGGCGACTAACCAATTTCAGGATTTTACTGTCATGCAATAAATATGCAACTGTTATGTTCAAATTTTTAATATTCCAAGACTGGAAACAAAAAGTGGAAAAGCATACCAATTTTGGGGCATAATAAATCCCAATGCATCGTGTAATGTGTACAGTACTAGTGATGTAATAGTTTTTACCATCAACTTTGATCGTTATCTAAAAGATAGCGACAAGGCTCTCAAAGTACTAAAATATTGATCATAAAACAGAATACAACTGTTGAAGAAATGTATGTTGCACTGAAAAATAACGAATTGCTTTCTTTGTCTTCCAAAACTTACATTCGACAAGTCCTGCTTAGAGTAGACACGAATCATAGATGAATCCGTGACTGAAATGGATGACGTTCGGTGAGCATAATTATTTCTAACATGTTTAAATGTGTTGCCTGAATATCTTTGCCATAAAAAACCATTCGCTGTTCCAGTAACATAGAAATCGAACTGAAAATAGCAATGTAATGAATCTTTTAAATTTTCAACAATTCCTCGCACAACGCTCCCATCAAATACAACTTTTTTCGAATCAAAATTGCATAGAAAAGTGCAGAAAGTATTTACGGAAAAAAGAAACGAACACTACTCATGACGATCACTGAATGTGAATCAGCTGTCGAACAGCTAATGATGTAATCTCGATTTTCTTTAAAAAATTTGGCGACTGTTGGAGTTAACACAAGCTTTTTTGTGCCCAATCCTAGCTGTCCCTTATCGCTCAATCCGAATACTATGATCTGTAAAGGACTGATAGGATTACATGTAGCACCTATGGTCAGATATAGAAACAATTTTAAATAAAATCTTCGAAATTCTCATATGTCACACCTCTCTTTTTACGAATTCAATTTGTCCGTAAACAGTTCAAAACACTGTCTTGACAAAATTTTGAAATATGAGAGATGGGTAGCAAAACGGACACTGAAAAATGATAAAATGTTAATAAAAAATAGGATAAAAAACTTGTCACTAGGATAACCTTTTTGCGTGTACATATGATCGAGTGTGTCAATCCAGCACAAACACAAACAATTGGTTCGAAAAATTTTATTCCCCGTAATTTTAACTGATCTTTTTCGTCTCCATGCCCCAATTTGCCATATCTTCCTAAACCACATGAATATGCTTGTCCATCAATCAAGTAAATAGTATGATATTTTCCAAAAGAAACCTGAAAAGTAGCAGCACCTAATAAATGTCGCAAATCTTTCCCATTAAAAGAGATATGGTAATTTAATTCATCCCATTTTCACAAAGAACGAGAGTTATAATTTTGCTTCACCGTGACGCAAGATCTGGCCTAAGACCAGAAAATTCAGTGTACCAGTTACTGAATAAAGATATTCCGGTAAAGGATAGCATTTTAGATAGAAAAAAACATTAAAAAAACAAACAGGCACCTGCGTAACTTCCTTTCCGAAGCTAATCTCATTAAAAAACTGCACAGGAACAGGATGTGTGGTATGGTTTCCGTGCATGATACCCAAAGACAGAGTACTGTTGTCACCACAAGCATAAATTCGCGCTACAAAGAACCGTGAATAAAACCCTTCACGGTAGCGCAGTTTAGAATGAAAAGTAAATAATAGAAATGGCAAATAAATATGCAGATATCATAACATCCAGTTCGCTCGGGGATTATGCGATGATTCTGGTATTATCTGGTATTAGGTCGGTAAGATGACATGTGTTTATCAGCCTAAACTCGACCAGCTAAAATCTGTAATCGCTTTTTCGGTCTATTTGAAAGCTTCTTCTACGAATATCTTATCATACTGCTCTCATTTAAATCAAATTTCCATGTCTTTCTGTGTTAGACAGAAAAGTTACATAAGCAGGGTAATTTCTCGCTTTCCTTGGGTTTTGCAAAACTTCTAAGAAATTCGTATGCATTAAATCCTCCAAGGCAGGAATAAATACTAATATCAGCATTGCGATAAAGTACAGCCAATGCTCGCAGATGTCCTTTCATTGCGGCAAACTGTGCGGGTGTCGATCCATCAAAACTCTGAAAAAGTTGTCATCAAATTATCATGAAGGTAATAACTTAAAAAAATAAGATCACTTTACCATGGCTTCTTCATAATCGAATACTTTGAGTAGAATTTCAAGAATCTCAACAGAATTATAATATGCAGCCAAATGAAGGCTTGAAGGTGGCCAAAGTGTTTTATCTGCTTTACACAGTGACTGGACGCAGACCATAGCAATGGCCCGTACTTGAATAGCTAGTTCATCCGAAACACAACCAAACTTGCTCATATCTTCTGAAACATATTGATCAAGAATGAACCAAAAGGTGAAACCGACACTATTATAACTTCAATATCAAAATTAAGATTTCATTACTTTCTTAAATCACTTACTCTATAATGATACTAAACATCTTGAAAACAAATTATAGACCATTTAATAGATATACTTACTTGATTTAAATCATTTTTCGAAGCTCCAACTAAACTCTAGGGATTAAAATGGATAAAGAGAGAATTCTTCGGTGCCAAAGACTTTAACTATTTGATATTTCAGATGTAAAACCATGACTCCTCATGTTCTATCACCCTTCACTATACACTAAACATCAAACAAGCTAACGTTTCAAACAAGCAAAAAACAGAAAAAAAGCAAAATACAATGTATGTCCATGAAAACAAAGGTCAAATGACACAAAATTAAATAGCTAAATCTTACCCTGAATAAGCCCCAACAAACATCCTGACATGAATCTATCGTCCAAACGCAATTTCTAAAATTGGAATGCTTCGATTCAGCTTTAATGAAGGAATATTTCAACATATTAGATTTGAGTATTTTACTTTCATGTAGATGGTATGGTCGCATGGTTTATTATCCTTCATGTAACATCCGCACAATCATTTCCCCGTAATCTTTCATTAAATTATTAACTATTTTCCCTTCCGCTTATACATTTTTTACCCTTATAGTTTAGTCGAGACCTCTATTTCAATTGCTGAAGTCTGGAAGGTTGTAAGGGAAAACTATGCAACAAATATGTAGATTAAAGCTTATTCTACGAATTAGTAAGGAAAAATGAATGTAGAGACGTTTGTTGCTAACATACCGGATATTTTCTAACGATGGTTTTCCATAAAGTATCCATCAGGAACAAAAACCAGAAATAACTTCTCCCACAATAACTCTTATTGATATAGGCGTAATTACCTAGAACAACATCACTTGATTGAAGGATAGATGTTATCAAAATACATAAACAACCGTTCACAATAATTTCAAATTACCAACAACCACACGACAACGAATTTTAGTTCTTTTATAAGCAATGGTAATTACAATATGCAATCCAACGGTTCTTAACTGCTGACTGGAAATATGGTAGCAACAATAAATGGAAAAAACTTCAATTTGTTTCAGAATAATCCTTACCCCAATTTTCTAATTCACTCTCTGACACCTATTTCTCTTCCCTAAACAATAAATCAACAGCTACGACCGCACGCAGACAACATCAACTTGTAAACTAAAGCAAACAAACTAAAATTAGCCAGAAAATTTTAATCTCGTACGGCCTTGCTGTAATTGGGTCACTGTGAACTATACAATCTCGCTACACAAGTAATGCGCAGGAAGTTCCATGTTACCATCCATCCCGCAGTGTAACGATTATCGAGTACTGACGTGGACCAAATGAGTACATTGCTTACGTGAAACCGTGACGACAAGGTTTGTTTTATTTAAATCCGTTCTTCATTAAATCTTATCACTTCTTGTCCCTCAGGATTATTGTGGTTGCAGTTAGTGATATCTCCTGCCATACCCATTATTCTCCTGTTTTCTTATCGATATCTCGTTGCTACTCATCGAAATTAAATGGAAATATTCTCTCGTTGCTACTCATCAACATTAAATAAAATATTATGGATGCATAGGAAGTATCTCATACAGATGTTAGCATATAGTACGTTGCTTATGGAAGATAGTTACATCGCTGTGGATGAAGTTTGTCGTACTTTCATCGTAATCAACTGCTCTCCTTCATCTGTATTTTGTCGCATCCATGGCAACAGTTAGTGCGTCTTCTTTTAATTACGGATATTCACCCTTAAATATTAACATCCTCTAAATCCACTAGTAGGTAGTTAAGAATATAAAAATTTTTTTAATGATAATATCTACTACAGTAATGCTAGTAGTTTGATGGTTTTTCTTCTAATCCAACCATTTTTCCAGGAAGGTTATGCGTGCATTTGAAGATTATGATGACAGTTTGCTTAATCCAGACACTATTTTGCACTCGTTACCACCATATAATTACACAAGTTTTTTGCAAGAATGTCCAACAATATGTGTTGTCATAACAGCGTTGTGTGTTATTGCAATTTCTTTGTATTTCTGGAGATTGTTCTGGATACGGCAGGAAGGTATGTTATAGTGTATGCTATTATTCTTCATCGTTCCGTTCAGTTACTTCTAAATTATGCATTTAATATCACGCCATTCTTTTTGCAGTTCTTTCGGCTGTAACGATTGATATATTTCGAGATAATGAATCTCGAGGTTGTTCCATGTTTATTACAGTACATGTTTTGTTTACATTTCGGAGTTCTGGAAAGTATCTCTTTTTGCTTATAGTGAGAAATGAGGTACTAAGCAAAAATGCCATCACAAAGACATAGAGCTCTTGTAAATCAGGGAAGCAAGGCCTTATTTTAAATGAGAAAGGTTAAAACCTTTTCAGATACGCACTGCCTAATGCATACGGAGAAAGCATGTTTATTCTCATTTTTCTAGTCTGTTTCAGAACATCTTGATAACGTAGTACTTAATGGTCGATTTGGCTCTTCAGTTCTGAGCAAAGTTCAGCAGAGAATTACTACTAACAAAAACACGGATGCAACGCTGAAAGTAGGCTTTCTGTTGTGATTTGTCATATGCTGTGCAATGATTCAAGTTACCGGAGAAAAATATTTCCCGACATTAGTGCCCTGGTCAGATAGGCATTTTCTGAATGAGTTTATGTTGTTTTCGAGGGATTACAGATGAGGGATTATTGGAAAATGATGTAACTGAGAAGTAAAAATTACAGCATTTTTTCTTTTTTAATAAATTTTCCAAAATCGATTATTGCCACATGTATGACAGAGTATTTAATTTAACCTATTTATTAGGACTTGATTAGCTCTCTCTGTTTTGTTGGTTCTCTCAGTTTTTGTTATCTTACTCCCACAAGCATGAAATAATACATTCCAGCCTTTGTGTGACAAAGAATCCTTTAAATTTGAAGACAATGAACCGGATGAAGTAGTTACCTCTTTAAACGAATTATATGGGAAGTTAGCAACAGCAAATTTGCGAGCCAAAGCTAAAAAATTGGAGAAAGCAATGACTGAGGAAGAGCGAAAAGAGGTGCCTTTAATTAATTTATGTGGAGAAAACTGTTGATGTAAATTAAGCATAAATATAGATGTAGCAGTAAGTTCTTTTCCACAGTTTACCGATTACTGCTTACCACTCACTTACTGTGGTTCCAAAATTCAAAATTTTTATGATTTTTTCAGTCACATTTCTCTTCAAAATTTATAGGAACAATTAATACAGCAAAAACAATTGGAGTCAATATGCGAAATGATCATGCAAGAGCCAGAAAAGTTTGGTTTTCATGATAAATCAGAAGTCACGGAGCAGATGAAATTATATTCAATTTGAATAGGAGTTATCTGATCTCAGTTTGCTTTTCTTATTCAAACTAACTTTTTTTGTGTTTAACCTTCAGTTAAAATCTCGAACTTTTCACCAGATAATTTGTTCGATGTATTTTTAGACAAATATTTTAAAATTCAATAAGTTTAGAAAAATTGTTGTCTGCTGATATTGGAATAATGCTTTCCCTTGAGTGATTGATAGCTTAAGATTTAGTGTGATTTTAAACCATATATGTGATGCATTGTGATTTACTTCAAACGCTGAAATAATGATTGGACCTTTGTGATAGCGAATGTATAATAATAATGCATTTTACACACACTGCTAATCTTAATACGTTGTTATGATAACAACCGTGTATGATTTCTCAAAAATTTATAGAATACTCATGTAGATAAAAAATTGTTTGAGAGGTAAAAGAATTGTGATTTCTTGACAAATTCGATAACAGTGTTGTTCGTAGGTATATAGGGTTAGATAAATTCAGCTACAGCCAGTCAATGATTCACAAGCACAGTCATCCTTCGCATGCAGACAATCTTCAAATTTTATATTAAAAAAAATTTAGGTTTCCCAGTTTTGCTGGCATATAACGGCTTTCCTACTTTTTAGGTTTTAAACGTATAGCGAAACAAGATTTAGAAAGTTCCTCAGTTTGATCTCTTATTGAAATGTGTTTTGATCCGATGCACAAAGTGTCGAGTTTTACATATTTCTCGACCTTGCGATGTATTTATTAGACTCATTGCTGTTTTTTGAAGAAGAGAATGTGTGTACGTGGAAACACAATAAGAAATAATTGATTCACCATGAAACGGTTCATTGATATTTTTTCAAGCATTAGATGAGGAATGAATACAAAGAAGGGGAGGAGGTGGATTAATTGACAGCAACATATATTATTATGTGGTTTTATGTAATAGCTTTTACTGCTGGTAAGAATTTAAAAAATACATTATTTTTTTGGAAAGATTAACTGGCTACTAGGAAGAGAAGTGAGGACTGGTTCTGTTTTTTCGAAAAATGGCATCTCCTAAAAATTCTACAATAAGTTCTGGTTGCACAAGTGGTGTAAGAATTTCATCTTTAGCCACATTTAATTCAATATTATAGTAATGAATTTTTTTAGACAGTGCTTTTAAGCCATATCTCTCTTGAACACTTTCGTCTACTCACATGAAGTTCTTGAGAGCAATCTTTTATTTTTTCGTTGAATTATATGCAATTTTATAATTTTTGATTGGAATTCACATGCAGTGCTTTCACATGATTTTATTCAGCTAATTAAACCATCCATCACAGTGAGTCAAATAAAAAATGAAACAGTTTGGTGATACTTTTTTCAGATTTGCTGGTGCACTCATTAACTGGCATTATCCTAATTATTGAACAAATGATGCGGTTTTTTTTTTAATTTTGCAATACTTGTATCGAGTGAAAATAATTACAAGAACTGTTTACAACTTACCTGAAGTGCGCATTTTTTAAATATAGACATGATTTTCAGAATTTTCCTCTTTAAATCCGTCGTGTCTGGTATTACTGCTATTTTAATTCAAGTTAGAACGAAATCACAAACTGATGAAAGCAGCTAGGACAATCGATTGGTATCAATACATGTGAGTTGGTACAAATTCGTTATTGTATAAATACAATTTTGAATTCAATTCTGGCATGAAAATTGTTCTTTATGTTCTTATTAAAAACACAGAAACAGTATGCAACTTCAAAGTCCGGTGGTTTAAAATATTTTTTATAAATACCTCTTATTCATATATTTTGTATTAATATCAGCGGTTCATATACAAACATAACATGCTGCCACAGGTCAGCGAATTAGAGTGAACTGGATCGAAACAAGGGAAACAAAATTTGGTTTGAAAAAAGTCCTGAAAGTCACTTGAGAAAAGTGTAACAAATCGTTTTATTGCAAATTTAGTCTGATAGTGCCGTTTTCATCGCTGTGTGTAACTGAACGTTTATTTTAGAGGAGTTTACTTTTTTAAACTAAAATACTTATTTATGAAGTCAGCAGCGATGATTCCTAAACAGTGTAGACCATATCTTTTTCAATTTTTGTTTGCATTTTCTACTTATAAAATTGTTTCAATTCCTTTATTGTTTTCTTCAGCTATTCACAGCCATCCTTCTGGTGCAAATGGAATTATAAATTTACGCAACCAGCGTTATAGGAAGTACTTATTTGTATATTTTATCTTGCTCAAATTAGCATTTAAATGGCTGTTTAGCTTATTTTCCATTAAATTATATTGGAGATCAAATTGTATTTGAAGACCAACAGTAATTTTTCTGACTAGTATCAATAATCTATGTTATCACTTATTAGTGATAGTTTACATCAGGACTGAAAGTATCAAAGATAGTTATCTTGCTTAATGTGCAAAATGGTAATTGTAAACATAATTTGTTCGTTCGAAAGTTGAAATACTTTCAATCTGCTTAGTTGACAATTTCCATTAACTTGTGTGAAAGATGCCGATAATTTTCATGGTACATTAATACAGCGTTATGTTTGAGTGTACGAAAAGAAACAGGATTAAATAACGTTGAACTGAATCAAAAAATACATTCACAGCAGATTGAATTGTTTAGGACTAAGAAAAATAAAATGCTACGTACTAAGCGCAGATAGTGGACTTTGACTGCATGGAATTTCTATGCAAAGCGAATACATTATGACTAATGAGGGTAATAAATAAGTAATAAATAAGCAATTTTGTTATAACGTTTTTTTTCACGTGTAAGACGCGGAACAAATAAATAAATAAATAAATAAATGGATTAGTAAGCAAACGAATACACTTATGCGTTTTTAACAAAACTATTGATGGCAAATGACAGTGATTATGACGGTAATCGAGATATGGAAAGATGAATAAGGAAGACCACCGCCCCATCGTCTCCAATTCCTATAATATTTTCACTAATGAGTCCATCAAAACTCTACTCCGGAACGTCCGATTAGTCATAGTATTAAATAGAAGTGATGGGAGAGAAGCAGTTGTCAAGCTAAGGTGAAACATCCGGCTGTGTAAATGGGACGTTTTTCTGCTACAATTATAGTGGTAATCGCTGGCAATAAATAATGGTAATACCAGTAAAATGAATAATTTGTTGGAGTTGAGTGAAATGAAAATCATGAATTAATCACAAATGTGTACACGAAAGTGTTTCGTTTTCTCAAAAACTATTTCGTGAGAAGTACTTTCAAAAATTCAAAAATTTCTTCCCTTTTTATGTCGACGTGTTCTATTGCGCAATTTCCTTCCTCTTCTCTTACCTTTCTTTCCATCTCATCAATTCCTTTTGATCACCTCATTTTCTCGAAATATGTTGTGGAAAGTTTGATTCTCATTCATATTAACCACCATAAGTTTTGAAATGTTTAGTCTTCCATGTGAATCGTCCTGCTTCATTTATCTTTCACTCATTAACACCTCAACCGTCTCGCTCTGTCTTCTCTTCACGTTCTTGATTTCAAACTCCATAACCTTTTCATTTTCTTTAAAAAATGATACCTGAATATGGGATATTTCAGAATTAGAGCATATCGATAAGCTAAGAATGATTGCCAATGACTTCATAATTTTTCTCTTTAGTTCCCATAAATATCCCAACTATTTGCTTTGTTTTCAATTCTTATGACTGTTCTGTTATTTGAGAAAGGTGGCGAGACATAGTTCTTTAAATCTTAATTTCAGTGAAGTGCTAAATGAAATTTAGAATAGTTATAGCGATGTACATTATTCGTAGATGTAGTAATTGTAGGTCAGGTTTTTAATTTGGAGAGCATATTCAAAAGGACATCAAATTGTAAGGTCAAAAAGTTGACAAAGTTACAGCTTTTGAAAATGCTCTCCAAATTTAAAATCTGACCTGCAATTATTACATCTACGACACAAGGCAGTCTGGCCAGAAATATTCGAAATGTTTAGGGGATCCATTAAACACGATGATTGCTGTTTGCCGAACTTTACTGAGATGTTAACTCTCATTATCTTCTTCAATATGCTATTGCGCACAATTCCATCTATCACAAAAAGTAGGTGACCAGGAGAAGAGATAAAACTAAAAAATAACGACATGTATGGATCAAATGAAAAATTGTAATTTGAGATAAATTCAAACATCTGGACGAAACAATTACTACATCTACGTCACAAGGCAGTCTGACCAGAAATGGACGGAATCGAAAAGTCTGAGAGATAAATGAAATGATGAAAGTTGTTGAAAAAACAAGCAAATATGACTTTCTGTGTGTGATATAAATCCAGGTATTGAGTTATCATCACCACCTTTTAAGTTTGCAGAACTCGCTGTTTGGTAATTATTTGCATCCCTTCATGGAGTGAGGTGCACAGGATGGAGAAATACATCCGGCTCAACAGTAGAACATAAATAGGTCAATATCTCTTTTACTGATATCCCTTACCTGCAGATGTTGGATTTTAATTTTATCATTGATAACTGATGGAAATGCAGCAATGCAAATTCGCTTAGTTCAGTTGGCAGCAATGCGCAACATTTTATATGTTTTGAATGGCGCAAGTGAATATGAAATATTTTTAAAATTTGAGTGATATTTGGTGCATTTCATATTCATACTGTAAAAACAATAGCTCCATCGAATACGTGAATATTTGATTGATGATGTTTAATCAAATTGATGTGAATTTTGCATCTTTAGCAAAAATGTTCGTAAAATGACGGCTATATCTCAATTTATATTCATATCAATATTTCGTTATGTTTATTCATCAATTTTTTTCTTCACTTTCTTACATTTTCTGCACCTTTGTTTCAACAGATTAGAAGGAATGTATATACTAACCGATAAGTTAGACAAATTTTGCACAAATTAATTAAATTTGTAATCACATTAAATAAAGCGAATTGATTGCTCATTTTTATTTGCATATTTTTTCATCACCGTTTGAGTAAACAAAAAATGTGCGGTAATGAGCATACAAATTTTAGCAGCA